AAGTAGACAAAAAGATATGAGTTCAGACTAACTAGTTAGGAATACTACTACACCATAGTAGGAGTGCCGGTTCTACTTGAATAAGTATCAAAGGTATAAAATGGTACCTGGTTTTCTTATTCTTCTCAGCTTCCATACCAGTATGAGCACTATAACTAGGAGGAGGGCCACTGCTGACAGCAATGATCCAAGTATTGGAACAACCATGTTCTCCTTGCACTTGCTTGAATCTGAACTAAAACAGGACTTATAAGCACATCAAAAATCTGAAGCACACAATACCATTCGCTTTCGTTAAAGAAGATGCAAACCTATTCAGTGCTCTCCATGAATGAAACTTGCACAGAGCAGTAGGACGAGGAAACCAGTTGAGATCTTCTTCTCTCTGTCTCACTGCAGCCTATGAACTAACTGGTATTTAAAACACGTGACAATGTTCCGACCAAAAAAGCAGAAAAACGTATGTGACAGTGTGGATTTGTACCTCATGCTGCACAACTTTACATGAAACATGATCCTTATTACATGGAGATGCTTAGTCTACGTCAATCAATGGATCATGCAATGTTCATACTAAGAGAGCAATTTGGTTAAGCCAACGTATTTTCTAGTCAAAACATTTCAAACATTGTTCCAAAGTGATTAAGTCGAGGACATTATCAATGTATATTAGTATTTAGCCTATGCTGATTCACTGCACAACAGATCCCACACCCATTTTTAACCCATCAAGTTTTGAACATGGAATGAATGAGATAGTTTGTAGGAAACAGGAAAGGTAAAGCCTAAATAGCTACCTAGCATGGTGCTGTCATTGAACCTGCATTTGTGGAATCTGAACCAATGGAAATCACTCTAGGTGAACTCTGGTATGGTGAAATCGTACCACAAGTTTCTTCATTTGAGCCTGGAGTTCTTTGTCGATGCCTAGACACCTTTATTCCATACACTCTGTTAGTTGGCACAGCACAGAACCCATAGTGGCTCTATGTTGGCAGGTGAAAGTTGTGCATGCCATTGCTGTCTCTAAAGCTTTCCAGGCCAAATTCACATTGAACTCTCCTCAAATCCTTCGATACAAAATAGTTGTTAAATCCCATTCTGGAACTCAGGGTTCACCCACTGCACTATGTGGACAAGATCATCAATTTCTATGATTGCAGGTTGGCTAGTAAAACTCTCAAAATCAATTTTTTCATTCAAACTTTGATAATTGTGTACCTGCAGACCAAAAAAAAGTATTATCAAAGCACTCACTGTTCATGCATTTGTATTTATGACACGATAAAAAATCAAAGAGAACACAGAAACTTGAACATACTCTGGATCAAGATAACCCACTTTGCCCATGACCGACATTACCACACAAGTCTCATTATCACTGAAAACAACACTGGACAGACCGAAATCTGCTATTTACGCGTCCAAGTTTTTATTGCACTGTGCTTCTTAAGTGAGCTGAAATACAAATCCAATTTATCTGTGTTTAAAGTATTCTACATAACTCGACCTGATTTTATTTAAGGATGAAAGATTGAAGAAAGAAGTTACATATTGACTAAACAGATTACCTTCTACAAAATTGGTCTAAGAAAACTGTGCTAGTTGAGAGAACCTGCACACAGTGAGAAGAAACACAACCTTGTACAAAAGTGTACCTCAACATATGGAAATCACTCTAGGTGAACTCTAGTATGGTGAAATCCTGGAGTTCTTTCTCGATGCTTAGACACCTTCATTCCATACATTTTGTCAGTTGACGCAGCACAAAACCAACCATGGTGGCTCTATGCTGTGAGGTGGAAGTTGTGCATGTCATTGCTGTCTCTAATGCTTTCCAGACCGAATTCACATCGAACTCTCCTTGAATCATTCGTTCCAAATTCGTTGTTAAATCCCCATTCTGGATTCACCCACTCCACTATGTGGACAAGATCATCACTTTCTATGATTGCAGGGTGGCCAGAAAAACTGTAAAAATCAATTTTTTTCATTCAACCCTTGATATAACTATAGTACCTGCAGACCAAAAAATGTAATCACAAATAAACCACTCACTGTTCATACATTTGTGTTTATAACAAGATAAAAAACCTTTGAAAGATGTTCCCACTAGGGACCTTGCAATCAACAAACATTAACGACCGCAATCTCCTGGCACTCCCTTGTCGAATTCTTTCAAGTGTCGCAAAAGAAATCCGTGCAACATGTTGAATCTCAAGTGCATCATCATCCATCTGATCCAAGTCTTGCATCAAGCTTTCAAATTTGAATGTTTTTTTTGCAAGATCATGCACCAAATCGTGCATCTTGCATCTGGTATTCCCATTCCAATATTCTCTTGCATCTTGAAGTAAAGAGTTTTGCAATAGAATATTAAAATATTCATTACCTATATCCTCCATACTCAAGTTAGGAGAAGAATGGAGATATCCTTGAGCCATCCAGAGCTGGACCAAGTCATCTTTTTCAATTTCAAAATCTTTCACAAGCATTGAACAATATGCAAAACATTGCTTCAATAATGACGGTGTTAAATTATCAAAACTCAACTTCAAGACCGACATGATTTTCTCCTCTTCATTTCGTAATTCCCATATTTTACTTTTTAGAATTGACGACCATTCATGCCTGCTATTTTTAGAACGCATCATGCCTCCTAAAACCTGTTGTGTTGATACATAAGTTAGTTAGTTTCTATATATTTTATAATATAAAAAGGTGATTAGCAAAATAATAATCCCAAATTATAGTTTCGTTGAATTTTGAATAGAGTGATTAGAAAAAAAAAAATGATGCATTAAACTCAACTTTGTCTTGTATTTATCAGAAGTGCAAGATTGCTGTCCAATATTTTTGCTTGTTAGAAGAGAAATACTAAGGAGACTTGCTAGCCAAGTAAGAATTAGTCTCAAAATTAAACTCAAAAGATACTTGAATTTACGCAGCCACGTGGTGAGCATAGTACCTATAGTACCTTGATATAACTATAGTACATGCAAACCAAAATTTTTTTTTCATTCAACCCTTGATATAACTATAGTACCTGCAAACCAAAAAATGTAATCACAAATAAACCACTCACTGTTCATACATTTGTGTTTATAACAAGATAAAAAATCTAATAGAACACAGAAATTTGAACATACTATCGATCAAGATAACCCGCTCTGTCCATGACCGATGTCACCACACAATTTCATTATGTATACATGTCAATTTGACCAAATGGCTACTATTTGGTGTTTTAATTACAAATGCATGAAACCTGCGTGCTTCCTCAAACACCAACATGGACCATTCTCTCCGTCTCATTAAAAAAAAAGAATTTTAACGAAATACTCCTGGTACTGTTCACTTTTAACGAAAAATCACTTTTTTACCTTTCCCTAGTATTGTTGACTATATCTTTATTTGTTACTTTTCATTAAAACTAAAGTTTTTTTTTTTTTGAACAACTAAGGTTTTTTTTTTTTTGAACTTTTCATTAATTTTCTTTTAATAAAATAAAATAAAATATGGCGTCAGTCATACAAAGTCAAGCTTTCTAAACCTCTTTTATGGACAGATACGGATTTTATGGTTCGAAGCTCAACCAACAGGTAATTTGGACCACTTAAATCGAATTCGATAATACTAATTAACTCATATGCTGCCTCACTTTACATAATCTAAAGACTTCAACGTCTCTTTCACACAAAGAGTCCAAATTTTCTAATCCTTAAGCTCTGGACACTAATGTACGGAGGGGATCCAAATTCCTCTTTAGTATCCATCTGTCAAATTTTCAACTGTTTGCTTTAGCTTGTTGTCCTAGTTTCTCTCTTCCTCATCCTCCTCTGGCTAGCGTTTGGAGTCCGGCATCCGAATCACATGTCCATGCGGTCCTAGACACATTAAAGCTTACCTACTCTACATAATGACTCCACTCCCCTCTTCCAACACCTCCATGTTTCAGACGAAAGAATTTCTAGGTTCTTGTGTCTGAAACCCCAGAGCTAAGTTTAATAGAGGAGGGGTGGGACCATAATTTGGTGTATCGTAGGCCTCACAATCAGGAAGATATAGTGCTTTTTTAGTGTCCAAGCCATAGGGATCAGGTGGTCCGGTTGCTTTAAACTAGAATTTTATCCTCAATTTGACAAATTAACAATGGCTAATTGGCCATGCCTCTCCCTCTGTATGTTGTTAATAGTGTCGATATTGTCCCATTACATGGATTGAAGAAAACCCCACATCAGGAATAATATGTACTAACAAAATATGACTCTTTATTTGAGAATCATAGTCGTTGGATGAGTTTACGATAGATAAATACCACAAAGTATAGATAGTCAAAAGTTCAAACATTATTGACGGATGGTGAATGTGAATGATAATTCAAGAGTAGTGAGAAAGATGATTGGTATTAAGTCTTTGGTCACTATTATCTTGAAAGTTGATGACCAAAATGACAACCGCCTCCCCTTCTTTTGGCTGCAACAGCAGAAATAGGATGCTTACATGGAACCTGCATTTGTGGAATATGAACATCTGGAAATTACTCCAGGTGAACTCTGGTATAGTGACCTCGTAACACGAGCTTCTTCATTTGAGCATGGAGCTCTTTCTCGATGCCTAGATGTACACCTCCATTTCCAAACACTCTGTTAACGCACAGCACAAAACTCTCTGCTGCGAGGTGGAAGTTGTGCATGCAATTGCTGTCTCTAATGGTTTCCAGAACGAATTCACGTCAAACTCCCCTCAAATCCTTCGATCTCAAATCCCCGTTCTGGAACTCAGGAATCAGGATTCACCAACTCCACTATGTAGAGAAGATCATCATTTTCTATGATTGCAGGTTGGCCGGTAAAACTCTAAACATCAATTTTTTTCATCCAACCTTTGATAATTATAGTACCTGCAGACCAAATAAAGTAATCATAGATCACTCACTGCTCATAGATTTGTTTGTTTTTTTAAAATCAAAATTCTAAGAACACGAAATCTGAACATACTCAAGATCAAGATACCCCGCTGTACTCTTGGCTGATGTCACCACGAGTCTCACTGTCACTGGGAAAAGCCATGGACAGACCGAAATCTGCTATTTTTGCGTCCAAGTTTTCACTTAAGAGACTGTGGCAGTATTTACATCTCTACGCACAATACATGGATTGCACCTTTATGCAAGTAAACAGTCCTGTGAGCCAAATTTCACAATATACATAAGTTGAATTAGGCATATGAACTTGTGCAGATACATTAGCGTATGAAATAACACGAAGCACTAACCTAACGCAATATCTAGTGTTATCCGAAGTTCATTTCCCAAGTCATATGTGAGCTTCTATCTGCATTTGCAGCCATTGACGTGACACTCCAATATTTTGAAACCCTCTGATGGAGGACAATGCTTATAAAATATAGAACTACATACCTGAGAGAGATTCTTTTAGGTTTCCTTTAGGCATGTACTCGTATATAATATAAGTACCAAGTAGTCGGTTTCATCACAGTATCCAATAAATGAGGCCAAGTTTCTATGATGGATTCTCATCAGGAGCTCAACCAGCAGCGACAAGGAACCCATCAATCTCTAACCAACGAGACAAGGCACTTGCAATTCCAAGGAATTAAAATCCTAACTGTCAAAACTCTGTTTGGAACTCCCTAGCTCCTTCAGTTGACGATGGAGAAAGTATTTTAACCGCAACTTGAGTACCCTCTTCCAAGTAGCCATGGTATACAATCCCAAATCCTCCTTTCCCAATTTCAGTTTGAAAGTTTTCGGTGATTTCTAAAACCTCGTCACAAGTACACTGGGATTTCATTGATGCTACAGGTGTTTTGTTATGTTTTTCTCCATCTGCAGCTTAAGTACAAAAAGTAATGAGTTCAGACTAACTGGATAGGAATACCACTACACCATAGTAGCAGCGCTGTTTCTAACTAAATAAGTATCAAGGGTATAAAATGGTACCTGGTTTTCTTATTCTTCTCAGCTTCCAGACCAGTAAGAGCACTATAACTTGAAGGAGGGCCATTGTTGAAAGTGATGATCCAAGTATTGGAACAACAATGTTCTTCTTGCACTTGCTTGAATCTGAGCTAAAAAGAACTTATCAGCAGATAGAAAATATAACTCTAAAGGACGCAATACCATTCGCTTTCGTTAAAGAATGCTAACCTATTCAGCACTCTCCATGAACGAAACTTGCACAGAGCAGTAGGACGAGGAAACCAGTTGAGATCTTCATCTCACTGTCTCATTGCAGCCTGTGAACTACCTGGTATTTAAAATGTGTGACAATGTCCTGACCAAAAAAACAGAAAAACGTATGACACTCTGGATTTGTAACCTCATGCTGCACAACTTGCAGAGTAAATACATGATCCTTATTACATGGGGATGCTTAGTCTACATCAATCAATGGATCATGCAATGTTCATACTAAGAGAGCAATTTGGTCAAGCCAACGTATTTTTTAGTCAAAGCATGTAAAACATTGTTCCTATTAGGGTTATGTGGTGTGATACAAGTCAGGGAGACAACCTGAAGTATTAAACAAAAGTGATTAAGTCGATGACAATATAGATGCACACTTGTATTTAGCCTACACTGATTCACTGCACAACAGATCCCAACCCCATTTTTAACCCACCAAGTTTTGAACATCTGGAACTGCACTACAGATCCCACACCCATTTTTAACCCACCAAGTTTTGAACATGGGATGAATGAGAGTTTGTAGCTACCTAGCATGGTGCAGTCATGGAACCTGCATTTGTGGAATCTGAACATCTGGAAATCACTCTAGGTGAACTATGGTATGGTGAAATCATAACACGAGTTTATTCATTTGAGCCTGGAGTTCTTTCTGGATGCCCAGGCACCTCCATTTCCAAACCTTGTGTTAGTTGACATGACACAGCACAAAACCCATGCTGCAGACCAAAAAAAGTAATCATAAATCACTAACTGTTCTTACATTTGTATTCATAACATGATAAAAAATCTAAAAGAACAAGGAAATTTGAACATACTCAGGATCAAGATAACCCGCTGTGCCCATGACTGATGTCACCACACGAGTCCCATTATCACTGGTAAAAACCATGGACATACTGAAATCTGCTATTTTCGTGTCCAAGTTTTCCTTGTGCTGGGATTGCCTCCTCTCTTAATGCAATTCTCTTACTGGATTCCCTTCTTAAATAAGCTGAAATACAAATCCAATTTATCTGTGATTAATGTATTCTGGATAACTTGACATGGTTTTATTTAAGGATGAAAGCTTTGAACAAAGAAGTTACATATTGACTAAACAGATTACCTTCCATAAAATTGGTCTAATAAAACTGTGTAAGTTGAGAGGACGTGCACACAGTGAGAAGAAACACAACCTTGTACAAAAGTATATCTGCACCATAACAAGTAACAACCATGCGCAACATGCGTTAGAACATATTTGAACATTATAACATATACAGAATAACCGCAGACTCGTAAACAGTTGCAAAAAAAATTAATGTTCTTCCACGAGGCTAAAAGACAAGAGAAGAGAACAAATCATGAATTGCTGTTTCGGGAAAGAAACCTACACTTGACTCTGGGAAATGCCAGAAATTTTACGCAACAGTAAAATTTGGATTGGCTTCCCAAGTGCCGATAGATACTTGAGATTCCCACAACGGTGAATAGATTAGATGGTCGATTCATGAGAGGTTCCGTCATCACTCTGATATCAAACTGCAGAAAACGAGAGTGAATGAAGAATTTTGAACAAAATATACATGCATAATTGATTGGAGATAAAAATAAGGGCTCCAAAAATAAAAATTACCTCTCTGGAATGTGAGAAATCTTTGGCCATTCTGGGCCGCTGTCCGCGGCGCATCTTTCTGACAGACGGGGACACCCAATAATCCCTAGATCATGTAAATTGGTTAGGCGTTGCATAGCTTCGACCGTAGGCAGATACATCAGGTTCTCACATAGCGCAATTTTCAACACAGTAAGAGAAGTGAGGTTGCCCAACCACTCTGGAAGAGCCTCCAGACCATCGAAACAAGAAATGGACAAATGTGTTAGAGAAGCAGAGTGTTGAATTTGCTGAGGCAGAGACTTGAGCTTAGGCCACCCGCACAATTCTAATTCTTTCAGTTTCGATGGGACCTGAAAATCCGGAAAAGAATCGAGCTCTTGGCAGAAGGCACCGAGAGACAACTTTTCCAAACGAGATAGAGAGTGCAGCCCCTTGGGCAAATATTGTAATTTCCGACAATCAGATAAATCTAAAGAGGAAAGAGATTGTAAGCTGGACACATTGTCATCCGCCAGAGATATCAAATTGGCGCATAAGTAGACCCTTAATGCAGTGAGGGACGTGAGGTTGTCTAAACTGGGAATAGCCTCTAGATTGCAGCATAAATTGACAGCCAAAAGGGTAAGAGATGTGCAGGATGCAAGCCCACTCGGTAGCCTTATTAATCCATCACATCCCGCAATAAGCAACTCAGTGAGGGACGTGAGGTTGTCTAAACTGGGAATAGCCTCTAGATTGCGGCAAAAACTGACAATCAAACTGGTAAGAGATGTGCAGGATGCAAGCCCACTCGGTAGCCTTATTAATCCATCACATCCCGAAATAATCAACTCAGTGAGGGACGTGAGGTTGTCTAAACTGGGAATAGCCTCTAGATTAGGGCACTCCTGTATTATTATCGTCTCAAGAGAGACGGGGGTTTGTAGCCCATGACCCGACAAAGTCCTCAAATTTCGACAACTCCTGATCTGCAGTTTGCGAAGAATAGTACAAGAATGGAGCCCACTCAGTATACTTGTGAATCCATCGCAGTCGCTAATTGTCAATTCACGGAGGGATGTGCAACCATTTAAAGACAAGTCCCCCTCGAGAGTAGTGCACCTCTTAATAACCAAATCACGGAGTGAGGGCAGACTCTGAATTGAAGTGCATCTTAGCTTTGGGCAATCTTCTATCCTCAACACCTGAAGAGATTGGAATGGTGAAATTTGGAAGGATTCTAGATTACCGCAATCCTCAATTTCCACCGTCTCAAGTGAGGGGCAATATTCTAACCCACAACACAAGCTCAACAATTGCTGACAGCTCCTAGTTCTCAAATAACGGAGATTGGTTGCTCGACAATTTCTCATCATCCAAGATGCAAATTTAGTACCCTTGAATTCCTCAATCGTCAAGCTTTCTACGTTGTGGTGCGGTTGGAGTCCTTCAAGAATATCCTCGTCAAGAAAATTGCCATTTCTTTCTTTCCCCCATTTTAATATCAATTTTCGTAGGTTTGCCTTTTCCACTAATTTTGATTCCATTGCTTCTTCCTTGTCCCTCACAAATTCCAATGATCCAATAACTAGTTCCCCTTTCAGTTCATTTAACCCACCTAGCTCATCAAGTCTATGACGCCTTGCTCTATCCAATTTAAAACAAGGTAGCGTTTGCAGATGAGTCAATCTTGTCATCCCAAATGGAACTTCAACATCCTTGTCGAAATAAACATGTCTCAAGTTGATCAAATTTTCCATTTCCCTAGGAAACGTTTTAATGCCTATATATGACATTCTTAACGTCTCAAGATTATAGAGCTTGCCAATAGATTTGGGGAGTTCTTTTATTCTTGTCCAGGAAATGTCGAGATACCTCAAGCGTTTCAACTTTCCAATTGAACTGGGCAACTCCTCAATTTCGGCATCGAATAAATTCAACGTCCGTAAACCTTTAAACCTTTGAAAGGTGTTATTAGGGACCTTGCAATCAACAAACAACGACCGCAATCTCTCAACACTCCCTTTTGGAATTCTTTCAATTGTAGTGGAAGAAATATGCGCAACATGCTGAATCTCAATTTCATCATCCACCTGATCCAAGTCTCGCATCAAGCTTTCAGATTTGAATGCTTTTTCTGCAAGATCATGCACCAGATCGTGCATCTTGCAAATGGTAGTGCCGTACTTTTCTCTAGCATCTTGAAATAAAGAGTTTTGCAATAGAATATTAAAATATTCATTACCTATATCCTCCATACTTATGTTGGGAGAAGAATGGAGATATCCTTGAGCCATCCAGAGCTGGACCAACTTATCTTTTTCAATTTTAGAATCTTTCACAAACATTGAGCAATATGCAAAACATTGCTTCAATGATGACGGTGTTAAATTATCAAAACTCAACTTCAAGACCGACATGATTTTCTTATCTTCATTTGGTAATTCCCATATTTCACTTTCTAGAATTGACGACCATTCACGCCTGCTATTTTTAGAACGCATTAGGCTTCCTAAAACCTGTCGATACATAAGTTAGTTAGTTTCTATATATTTTATAATATAAAAAGGTGATTAGCAAAATAACAATCCCAAATTATAGCTTCATTGAATTTTGAATAGAGTGATGAGAAAAACAAAGATGCATTAAACTCAACTTCGTTTTGTATCGATCAAAATTGCAAGATTGCTCTCCAATATTTTTGCTTGTTAGAAGAGAAATACCAAGGAGACTTGCGAGCCAAGTAAGAATTAGTCTTGGAATTAAACTCAAAGATACTTGGTTAGATCATTTAAATATAAGTGTTAATTTAGTACTTATGATAACCGAGTAATTGGACAATTTGTAACAATGCACTAGGAAGGTAGTATTTTGAAGGAGCGTTTTGATCCACATTTTTTTATAGCAAACTATAAAGAAACATTAAATTTACACAGCCGCGCGGTGAGCGTAGAGCGAACTATTCTTTTGCCTTTTACTAAAGAAACACTAAATTTGATCCAACAGTTATACGACTTCGGATTTGGGTGATCTTTTATAGAGATGATATTTGAGAAAAGACATAAAAATAGACGGTTAAATCGTTGAAATATACAAACATATATATATATATATATATATATATATTATAAACAAATTGATCCTTTAAAAGCTCATTATTATGTTTTTCATGCAATTTTCTTTCTAAAATGTTCGGACAAAATTAAATATACCAAGTTAAGGTTTTTTATAATGGCGATTCTGTTGATTATTCAATTGTACTTATATTAGCAAACTAAAATGTTTTAAGTTCAACTCATATGAATGAGGATAACGTTTTGAATTTGTTTGAGTTCGAAATCATACTCAAACATGACCTAGCCCAATTCCCGTTAAGAGTAGAATAGTAAAAATCATAGTCATACATTACCCTAATTCTGCAAACTAATCCTTTATGGAGAAAGCCACCAATCTATGTCTTCGACTGGCGACCCATTTTTGTGTGTAATTAATGTCTCATATTACAAACTTATTTCTGAACTACTCATTAATCGTTTAATACCTATTTTAGGTAAACGTATTTGACAAAACCAAGATGTTTTTTTTTTCTCATTCGATTGATTAATTCAATATGGGATATCATAGTAATGCTAGAGAGACCAATTACTTCAATCATATTCATAGACCACATGATGTGTTAGTTGATGGTTGGACTCATTATTCAAATCATTAAAGAAAGAATCCAACTATCAATCGCTACATCATGCGGTCTACAAAATATGGTTTCCCTACTCCCTAGCATAAAATTGCAAAGAGAAACTTGATATGAAAAACAATTTGGGTCATAATCGTTATCAATTAGCATCATCTTTCTCTATGATTAAAACAATTAGGCTTTAATGACACTTGGATTAAATCTTATTGGGTTTGAGAGTCCTGTTTTCCTAGACTTCAATTCTATGATTTTTTGACACTTGGATTAAACTTGATATGAAAATATAATTTTTTGTTTATAATTTCAAATTCTATAGAATTTTACGAATTGGAGGACCACACTATTAGAGGTATGCCTATGGTCCTTCTAGGTTAATCTGCAGTGGGGGACCATATGTATTTTAGAGATGACTCCGCTAGGTTAATCCACATTGAGGGGTCATTGCCTACTTAGTTACATTACCTTCATAGGTGGTCCTGCCTAGTTAAACTGCATTGGGAGCATACACTATTAAATGCATGCCTATGGTTCCGCCTGGTTAATTTGCATTGAAGGACCATATGCATTCTAAGGGTGATCATCCTTGATATATCTGCAATGAGTGATCACTGTCTACACAATTAAGTTATCCCTATGGTTATGCTTAATTAATCCACGATGGGGGACCATATAAATCCTACATGTGATCATGCTTGATACATCTATAATGGGTGACTATTGCCTAGTACCGTAGGATAGGTTTCTGCTTAGTTAATCAGCAATATGTGATCATGCTTGTTATATCTGTGATGGGTGATCATTGCCTATACAATTCGATTATGCTTATGGCTTTGCTTGGTATATCAGTGATGGGGAACTAAACGCATTTTAGGGTTGGTCATGCTTGGTACATATGCTATGGGTGATCATTGCCTACACGTTTAGGTTATGCATATGGTTCTACTTGGTACATCTGCAACGGCGAACTATATGCACTTCAAGGGTGATCATGCTTGGTATACCCGCGATGGGATGGTTACTAGCTACCTAGGATTGTAAGGAGTAGTTGTGATTGATAAATCCGCGATGTACGATGACTTCCTAGTGTGTTTCCGTTGAGTGGTCTAGAATCCCATCTCTTGTTCAATTTCGTTGAATTAGTCAAAAACCCTAGATTCTTGTTAATAGAAATTGCTCACGGTAGACATTTGCATTTGTAAATTAAGGTTACAGTATTGCTTGAATCTAAGTAGGGAAATGCATAAATTTGTTTTATTAAATTTCATGAATTGATACTTGATCTTGTTGGTTAATTAACGTAACTACTAACTATGCATCTTTGAATCATTGAACCAATTATTTGCTGTAATTTTGAAATTATGTTGGAAAACATTGTGATATATGTGATTGGCGAAATGACAATCCTAGTTGTGAAATTGTTGCCTTAAGCAGTCTCGCATCCAGTGGGCGATGCTCGTTGAGTTCCATCTATGTTTCTTGCCAGTTAATGCCTTGAGAAATTTTAAAACTTACAAGAATTGTGAACTACAAATGGCTTAATCTTGTCTTTGAGTACATGAGATATAAAGGTTAGATACAACCATGTGATAAAAGAAAAGTTACTACGTTATTGACATGTTGGTTTGTTTTTTGCCATGTCTTAGAAACGAGATATGACAGTTAGGTAGGGACATTCTGAAGTCACATGTCAGTCATGTGATATCTCAGAATCAGATTCTACAAAGTACAAATCCTTTATAAAGGAAGCTAGTAATGTATGTCTTGGATGCATTTCTATTGCGACCCATTTTTCTGTGTAATTAATGTCGCATATTACAAACTTATTTCTAAACTACTCATTCATCGTTCAAGACCCAAGAAGTTTTTATTCCCATTCGATTGATTAATTTAATATGGGATATGGAATAGATGCTATAAAGACCAACTACTTAGAATCATATTTCACATATCACATGATGTGTTAGTTTATGGTTGAACTTATTTTTTAAATCATTAAATAAACAATCTAACTATCAATCGCTACATCATAAGATCTAAATATGGTATCCTTACTACCTTATCTTCAATTGCAACAAAACTTGATACGGAAAATAGTTTGTTTTATAATCGTTATCGATTAGCATCTTTCTCTATGATTAAAACATTTTGGCTTTAATGACACTAGGACCAAATCTTATAATCGTTATCAATTAGCATCATCTTTCTCCTGAACCCCAATCATCAAGAAAATAGTTGTAACTACTGTTAGATCTTAATCCAACAATATAAAAAAATCACAAAAAAAAAGTTAACTGAGCACTAATCGTTAGATTAAGATCAAACGGTGGATGACCATGCATGGTCACTGGGGTCCTGGAGAACAAATATGTTGGGTTTGATAGGGTCTCTTCTGTTTGTGTGGTTAATTCGCTATTCAATCTTATTGACTTCAAACCTCCGTCGCTCAAAGAAATAGAGGAAAGAAATCGTGCAAAATTTCAAAGCCAATTCTATGTTTGTCTCCTCTAAGAAATTTATAGTAATACTGTTGATGTAATTAAATTACTCCATATTTGTATAGTTTATAATTTAACATTTGTTTATACGACTTTATGCATAACGTTTTGCTATTCCTCACCTTTTTATTTTCCGTTTTGTTTTTACTTTCCTTTCAATTTCTATCTCCTTCGTTTTGTTCTAAAACATTTTCTTGATTATAATTTATTGCATCATGAAATCTTCTTCATTTTCTGTGGTGCGCTACTTATCTTTTTAGTTTTTACCTCACGTATCATATGTTTTGTATTTTATTCAATTTTTTTCCTCATGGATTATCTACCTGTGATGTAGGTCTCCTAATTTTTTCTTTTATGGAAGGTTTCCTCTACTTCGCATGTTATTTATCTACCTATAACACATGATTTTTTTTAATCTACTTCTGTCAGAGACTCACAGGTTTCCTAGATAATTGTATGTTTTGGCTCCAAATAAATATTTAAAATTTAAAATTATGTAATTGATGCATTATTTAGGAGTTCAATTATCTGCTATTTTTTAGGGTGAAATAGGCATAAAAAGTAGTAGTTCGAACAAAAAAAACATAATTGGACTCACTTAAAATGTAGTCTATGATTTTGGGCCTCTATCTAAAAACCCTAATACAATAATATATGAATCCATACCTTTGCCACCAATGGTACACCAGCACACTTTTTAGCCATGGCCCTTCCAATGCGCTCTTGATCTGAATCTAGAGAAGAAGCATCACCATCTGGAAATGCTTCACCCTTTAATAAAGACCAACAATCCTCCTCCGATAGGCCCTTCAAATCACACCTCGGCATTGTCTCAATGATTGATGCAACATTAGCCTTACGGGTAGTAACAATGGCAACGCTTCCGGGACCAGAATTGACTTTCGACAAACAATCCATAAACTCCCTCCAAAAATTCTTCTCTTCATTCCAAACATCATCAAGTATCAGAATATATCTCTTGTCTGTCAACCTTTCCGTGAGGTCATCCAGCAATGCTTGCCGACTTGTAAGTCCTGTCCTGTCTGACTTAAGGGATTCTAACATCCAATTTAGTATCTGATCAACGTCAGAAGTGTCGGATACACAGACCCACATTTTTTCATCAAAAGGCGTACGAATAGCATCATCATTGAATATTGATTTTGCCAAAGTCGTCTTTCCGAGTCCTCCGATTCCCACAACGGCCATAACCGAAAGGTTCTTTTCCTGATTCTTGGACATCAACATTTTAATGATATCCGACTTAGTTTCCTTCCTTCCAATAATGATCTTATCAGACTGACCGAATCTCGAGTCAGTTTTTCTGTTCCTCATAATTGGAGGAGGGGTATGATCTACTCCCCTTGCAACCAAATGAATCCGAGATGCGTCACCCTTGAGAACCGCCAGTGACGCGTTGATGTTCTTAATCTTGTGTGCCATCTTTTGACGAAATAAAATGGGATTGGAGAGCGAAAAGAAGTTAAGTACCTTCTTCTTCATGTGGTTTTGAATTTCTGCTTTACGACGGAGAACTTCGCAGTTGATGTCCGCCAAGACGTCATCGGCATCATGAGCTACATCTTTCAGTTTCTTGACCCAGTTTCTGACTGCCACGCCCCGATCATGTGGTTGGTGGGCAACATCGCCTAAGAACTCTTCAATTTCCTCTAACGATACAGCAAGCTCAGTTGCTTCTTTTTTGAATCCTCGGAAAAGACCGATTTCTTGAGCAGCACGTGAACCGACCGACTTCAGTATTCCCTCCACCGGATAAGTGATGAGACTTTCGAGCACATCCATACTCGCGCGACAAAGGGAGATTAGAGAGTAGAAAGCAGAGAACTGGGAGAAAGCCAAGGAAGGACACAAGAAGAGCGAATAAGATGAATGAAAGGCTTAACAAGAATTCAAGAAAATGCGGTATAAGAAGAAAGGACCCCTTATAATTGACGCCACTTTACACCTGCGAGCGTCAACATAATGTTCAAGAGCAATATTATTCATATAAAAGATAAAAAGATAGAAGATGCGGATAAGAAGATGAGAGAAACGTATCAAGATGATAGGACCCCTATAATTGATGCCACTTTACACCTGTGAACTTGGGTTGGTGAGTCTGAGCACTTTTCACGCGGTGACTCATTTATTGGATTAAATTATTTTGATTAGTCAATATTTATTGGTCTTCCATAGATTTTTGTCAGGACTTGGTACTGATGACTATTCAACCCTACCCGGTCCTGTCACTTCATCTTCAACATTATTTCGCATACGCAGTGGTATTTACATATTTTAACTTTACTTTTCATTCTTAATTTTACTGAATGAATTGAAAGAGAATAATTAAATAAAATTAATAAAAATATGTCACAAATAAAAATGATTGTGTAAATAAGACTTTCACATAAAATGCGTTTTCTTTTACACAATCGAGCTAGAAACTTGTCTCTTATACATCGAATTGGTTAGTAATTTACACCCATATTTCTACCTTTTTCATTGACTATGGTAAACCTAAACCTAACAAGAAAATGTGGTAGCTATTACAATCGAACGCTGGGAATTCGTCTCCAACACTACACATAAGCGTTTAAATTGGTCTTGGTTTTAGTGGTTTATAAATACGTCAAATCCAACGAAATCAAACCAAACTAATTATAGTTTGATTTAGTTCAACCTAAAATTGCATTTTTTTTTCATTATAAAAGTCATACCAAAGTTCTTTGATTGATTTTTATACAATGATATATATACATAGCTAAAAGTTAAATCAAAACTTTTTGGATTGAGGTGTAGTATAAATTTGCATTAAACTCGTCATTCATGAAATTCAAACTTAAGACCTATTATTTATAAGTTAAAAAAAAAATACTGTTAGATCATAATATTAAATGACAACCTCTTGGATGGTTTAGTTTGAACAGTATTTTCATACAACAATATATTTACATTAAATTGAGATAAAATGGACAAGAATGCTCTCCAGATCTCTATTTAGAAACTTTTACCACTATTTATGAGAGCTTATTTAAAGATTTTAAAGAAATATTCGGGTCTTTAAAAAAATATTATTTTTATGAAAAGTTCTTATAGTATAATTTTCAGATTAATAGAAAATCTAAAATATTGAATAATTATTATTCATGTATGGAAAAACTAAAAAAATAACTCTACCCTTAGCTTTTCAACAATTAAAAAAAAATTACGTGAAAAACCAAAATGAAAATTTCACGTGTGTGGGATCAACAAACAAGGTAGAAGACAAAAAACCAGCTGGTGTGGGTCACTTTTCTGCACAAAATCAACAGAGGCGCACTATACAATTTTCACATTTGAGATTTTTTTTTGAAGTATTTAACGAGTTTTTATATATTGAAATACTTTTTGATAAAAAAAATTGGAATATTTTAAAGACTTTAATTTCGACTCTTAAAAAACTTTTTGTCTTCATATTTAGAGATTGTACTATTATAAATACTTTGTTTAGGTTCTCTATCGGAGAGAGTCTAACATGACAAAAAAGTGAAAGCAGAACAAGACCACATAAATATAAATTCATGTTATCTATAATTTTTCTCGACAATTTTAGATGACAGTGTAGACCCAACTTTAACAAAGTAAATTAAAGATATTTATAAAAAATTAATAACAACATCATTAGTACATTCAAAAGTGTACGTACGATAAGGAGATTCAAATTAAATACGTATTTGCTCTTTAGTACTAATGAGAGTCATCAGATAAAAAAAACCTCCAAGTAATTATAGAAGATTGGAATTCACGGAACAACTATACAAATTCTACATATGTCATTTGGTTTACAAGTTGATCACTACGTGTACTTTCAGTAATATCTTGTTTAAAATTTGTTTGGATTTGCAGATCCTCCATCTTCTAAGATAGAGGAAAAATTTCCAACACTGCCTTCCTTGTAATTGCTGTAATGAGATGAGGAGTTGTTTTCATGGGGCAGGTCCTAATGAATCTTATAGCTATTGGACCCCATCCCCCTTGTGTTTGGCATTGGTGGCACCATTGTGTTTGGCAATCAATGCAAAATTACATACAATAATATAAGTATCAAACAAAATGTAAACTTCATTGCGGAATTAGCCATGATGAATGAAATAATGACATCAAAGTAAATAAGAAAAGAGCTTGACCTAACATAGATATTTCATATCCAAAATGTTTTACGATTAAAACCAAGTTATAGCAAAGAGGTTTTCATTAGGGGTGTGATATCCACATACTCCATTTTACTTCTTACACATCTTTTTAATTTTTGGCCGTCGAATCGGATGAATTAAAGAAGATCAACGAACAAAAATTATTATGAGGTTTGTGAGAAGTAAAATGGGGTGTGTAGATAGCACACCCCTTTTCATTAAACCCCTCCAAAATTTATTGATTGAATCATATATAAGCTCACAACTCTAGCACTTAGACTTAATACAAAATTACTGAAAATAATACCCTAAAAAGAGAGAATTCGACTTAAAATGCTCAGACATCACAGCAAAATAGTGGGTTGAATTTATGACATTGTTCTTTTTGAAACGTCGGTTCTACAAATAAATATCATCGTGAATGAATGATAACAACCAAAATTCTCCTTTAAGGTAGCATGGGCAAGAAGAGCGAATAAGATGAATGAAAGGCACAATAATTCAAGAAAATATGATATAAGAAGAATCAGTTTTAACGAAAAACTCACGATAATTTTTATTTTAACAAAAAAAAAATATTTTTATATTAAAAAATTAATTCTGATACTATTTACTTTACTTTTTCATTTTTACAATTTACCCTTTTCATTAATTTTTCTCCAAAGAAAGGACCCTTATAATTGACGCCACTTTACACCTGTGAGCGTCAACAATGTTCAAGATCAATATTAACCCTTCTTATCAACAAAGATTCTTTCTAAACAACTTTATTCAATAGTGGAGGGCGACTTTAATAAAGTAATGAGGATTGAATTGAAATGACAAAAAATAATATCATGTTATTTAGTAATATGATTTAGTGATTTATTTATTTATTTGTAAGTAAGAGATATTAGGTTTGATTCTCATCAAAGATAAAGTTAAACAACATTTATTGTTAAACTCACACATTTTCTCTTAATGAAGGTAATATCGTTTGTGAAAAGAAAAAAAAAGACAAAAATATAAACCCCTTTTATTAGCAAATATGCTCTAAAAATTAATTATCTGGCATTATTCATATAAAAGATAAAAAGATAGAAGATGTGGATAAGAAGATGAGAGAAACATATCAAGATGATAGGACCCTATACTTGATGCCACTTTACACTTGTGAACTTGGCTTGGTGAGTCTGAGCACTTTTCACTCGGTGACTCTTGGATTAAATTATTTTGATTAGTCAATATTTATTAGAGATGAGTTGTCTGTACTTCTATTTTTGTATTTTTTCCATACGTTCCTGTAAAATGTGATTACGATTAAGTCACGTTAATATTTTATATTAATTTTTTTATAAAAATAATAAAACAAAAAATAATAAAAATATAATATATTAAAATGACTTAACTATAACTACACAAACAAGAAAACATAAATAAAGTATGGAAATGAAAAGACGGACAATCTAACTCCATATTTATTGATCCTTCATGGATTTTTGTCAGGACTCGATGCTGATGACTATTCAACCCTACCCGGTCCTGTCACTCTTTATATATATATATATATATATATATATATATATATAATAAAAACAATGGTGGTGCTTCTGGCACCATGTGCAAAAAGAAAGAAAAAAAAATGATGGTGCATCAAGCACCATCCAAAAGAAATAATAAACCAAAAAATAAAATAAAATGAAATAAAAAAGAAAACAAAAAAAAATAACAAAAATAAAAAAAAAGTTATAAAAGTTTCGGTGCTTCAAGCACCATCCAAAAGAAATAATAATAATAATAATAAAAAGAAAAAGAAAATGATAGCCATCATTTGTTAAAAGATGGTGGCGTGCAGAAAGCAACAGGGACAGCACCATAATATATATATATATATATATATATATATATAAGTAAGAAAAAATTATGAGAAGTAAAATAAAAAATTATTATGAGATTCAAACTTTATCATGAAAATCAAAAATTATTATGAGATTTGTGAGAAGTAAAATGGGGTGTGTAGATAGCACACCCCTTTTCATTAAACCCCTCCAAAATTTATTGATTGAATCATATATAAGCTCACAACTCTAGCACTTAGACTTAATACAAAATTACTGAAAGTAATACCCTAAAAAGAGAGAATTCGACTTAAAATGCTCAGACATCACAGCAAAATAATGGGTTGAATTTGTGACATTGTTCTTTTTGAAACGTCGGTTCTACAAATAAATATCATCGTGAATGAATGATAACAACCAAAATTCTCCTTTAAGGCAGCATGGGCAAGAAGAGCGAATAAGATGAATGAAAGGCACAATAATTCAAGAAAATGTGATATAAGAAGAATCAGTTTTAACGAAAAACTCACGATAATTTTTATTTTAACAAAAAAAAAAATTTATATTAAAAAATTAATTTTGATACTATTTACTTTACTTTTCATTTTTGCAATTTACTCTTTTCATTAATTTTTCTCCGAAGAAAGGACCCTTATAATTGACGCCACTTTACACCTGTGAGCGTCAACAATGTTCAAGATCAATATTAACCCTTCTTATCAGCGAAGATTCTTTCTAAACAACTTTATTCAATAGTGGAGGGCGACTTTAATAAAGTAATGAGGATTGAATTGAAATGACAAAAAATAATATCATGTTATTTAGTAATATGATTTAGTGATTTATTTATTTATTTGTAAGTAAGAGATATTAGATTTGATTCTCATCAAAGATAAAGTTAAACAACATTTATTGTTAAACTCACACATTTTCTCTTAACGAAGGTAATATCATTTGTAAAAAGAAAATAAAAGACAAAAATATAAACCACTTTTATTAGCAAATATGCTCTAAAAATTAATTATCTGGCATTATTCATATAAAAGATAAAAAGATAGAAGATGTGGATAAGAAGATGAGAGAAACATATCAAGATGATAGGACCCTATACTTGATGCCACTTTACACTTGTGAACTTGACTTGGTGAGTTTGAGCACTTTTCACCCGGTGACTCATTTATTGGATTAAATTATTTTGATTAGTCAATATTTATTAGAGATGAGTTGTCTGTCCTTTGTATTTTTTCCATACCTTTCTGTAATGTGTGATTACGGTTAAGTTACGTTAATATTTTATATTAATTTTTATAAAACTAATAAAATAAAAAAATAATAAAAATATAAAATATTAACGTAACTTAACTATAAACACAAAAACAAGAAAACATAAATAAAGTATGGAAATGAAAAGACGGACAATTTAACTCCATATTTATTGATCCTTCATGGATTTTTGTTAGGACTCGATACTGATGACTATTCAACCCTACCCGGTCCTGTCACTCTTTATATATATATATATATATATATATATAATAAAAAAATGATGGTGCTTCTGGCACCATGTGCAAAAAGAAAGAAAAAAAAAATGATGGTGCATCAAGCACCATCCAAAAGAAATAATAAACCAAAAAATAAAATAAAATAAAAGAAAAAACAAAAAAAATAAAAAAATAAAAAAATAAGTTATAAAAGTTTCGGTGCATCAAGCACCATCCAAAAGAAATAATAATAATAATAATAAAAAGAAAAAGAAAATGATAGCCATCATTTGTTAAAAGATGGTGGCGTGCAGAAAGCAACAGGGACAGCACCATAAAAAAAAAAAAAAAAAAAATATATATATATATATATATATATATATATATATATAAAGAGTGATGGTGCACCTGGCACCACATGTGAAAGAAAAGAAAGAAAGAAATATATATATATATATATATATATATAAATGAATAGTGAATCAGCACCATGTGAAAAAAAGAAAAGAAAAAAAAAACATTGAATAAAATAAAACTCATTTATTGATGTCTCTGAAAATTTACATGAATGTACGTGTACACGAATTAAAAAAATAATAATAAAAAAAAAGACCTTCATTGATCAGGTGGAGCCTCATCACTCGGTGGAATTTCAGGAAGAAGAGGCGTCGAAGGTTGATTGTTTGGAGCCTCAACACTCGGTAAAACTCCAGAGGTCGAAGGCAATAGGTGCCTCTGGAGTAAAGCCACAAACATTTGATGGTCACTCTGAATCCGACTTTCGGATTCCTGAAGCTGGTCAAGCTTTCTCTTCATGCTCGTTGAGTAAATATTGGCAAGCATGTGCAACTCTCTGTTTTCATGCTTAAGCCCTCTAATCTCTTACTTAAGACTCGCCACCTCAGCCATAAGTGACTCAACTTGACGAGTTCGAGCAAGAAGACGTTGGCCAATGTTCGATACAGAGCTCGCACACTGAACACTGAAAGCCAAAGAGTCTTGAACAGCCAGCGCATCAGACCGTTTGGAAATGATCCTGTTATCCTTGGGGATGAAAAGATTTCTAGCAACCACCGCAGCGGTTATGCCGTTCTTCATCACAGAGTCCCCAACTGTAAGTGGACCGTTGGGGGATACGAAGGATGGGTGTCATATGTTGTATTGAGAATGCATGTCGACATCTTCCCCAACATTCAAATCAAGACGACGATCAGACGGGCAAGCCATTTGCAGAAATAAGGAAGGAAGAAGAGGTCAGGTAAATCAAAATCTCAGAAATACAAAGAGGGTAACTTCTACAGACAGCAACTGTCAAGCGTGCTTTTGAAACACAATTGTTGCCTCTATAAAAAAAGAAGGGGCAACAGGGCTGTTCATTCAAAAATCGAAGAGGCACTTGCTAAGAAATCGAAGAGGCGTTTGTTCAGAAATCAAAGAAGTATCACCCTCCAAACCTCAAAAGCCGGGCCGCTTGTTCAAGGATCAAAGAGTCATCACTCTCTGAATTTCAAAAGCCGGGCTTTTCCGGATTTGTCATCACATTTCACACGCAACCCCAACTTTGCAGAAATCACGGGCAACTTTGTCAAAGATTTCTGACAAAGTTGAAAACGCATGAATCTTACTGTTTCAATTACCCAACAGTTGCTGACAATAGTAAAGGAACAGTACCACCACTTGACATTGAGAAATCGCTATATATGTCGACCTTCGTCTTTCATGGCAAGGCAGACCTGCAAAAAAAAAAAAATTATGCCTAACCTCCGAGAGCGCATTCCCAGTAGAGCCTCTTGAAATCCTCAGTTTTCTTCCTCTCTGGGAATACCCTTGCAAACAAATGACACCGAAGCAAAAGTATCACATATCATCAGGGTTGAAAGTAAAAGTATCTCATATCATGTTTTTTCCCTGTCATTTCCTTTGCCCTTGCTCTTACCTGCAGGACAACGGGAAAGAGAGTCATCAGTCGGAACCTGAAATCAAACTTTCGACCTGGAACTAATTACTTGGAACCTTAGTCTGGTTGCTTACCTTGCATTGCTCTTGAGTACTCATCGTCGTTGAGAAGTAATGTTCTGAAGCACCATTTAAATGCAAAGGTTGCATTCAACTCCTGCATCAGGAACAAATACGGCAAGAGATTAAAGCATAAGGATCAATGATGAAATGGAACAGATCACTATAGCACGACGCCCTTCCCTGCAAAATGACATAATCCAGATAGAGGAGTTTAAGTCAAAGCCAAGCTCGGCATCGTTGTTCTAATCAAAGAGCTTGAAAAGCTTTAACAACCTTTCGATGACACCATCGCCGAATAGCAAAGCCTTGTTGTGCAATGCTGTCAAATCACCATCACTTCTTTAAAAGCAAGAGTATCTCATATCATGCTTTTTCCCTGTCCCTTTCTTTGTCCTTGTTCTTGCCTGCAAGATAAAGAGAAAGAGAGCAATCATTCGGAACTTGAAGTTAAACTTCCAGTTAGGAACCGACTACCTGGAACCCTTCCCTGATTGCTTACCTAGCATCGCTCTGCTGGGGAAATAGACAAGGTAGCAGAATATACCACATTTGCATGGAAAACAAATGAGGCAAGTGAAAATGATACATTAAAGCATGTGGAGACAAGCACAACAAAACACGTGCCGATTCATCTCCTAACCCTTTTCAATATGAATTGGAAAGATTGAACAAAGAAACCGGCCATCACCTCCACCTCGCGCTTGCCTGCCATGTGTTCGAATAGTGAGATTGCTCGTGGTCCAATTTCATTCAAGAACAAGCCTCGACGGCCCTTGAAGAAATCATAAGTCCTGTTCAAGATCAAATGTCCAGCACCCTTGAATTAAGTTCAACTCCAAATAAAAGGAGTAAATTCAGACACTTGGTGCAACTTTAGCAGAAGAAACCCCCCAACCCAGTTCAAGAATGAGCCTGTGGAAAGTCAACAATTGGAGGAAATCAGAAAATCCTCCAATCCCGTTCAAGATCAAAGCTGTGGAAAGTCAACGAATGCAAAGATCTACCACGTGAAGCTCCTTGTGGTCCAATTTCATTCAAGATTAAGTCTCGACGGCCCTTGAAGAAATTTCAAACAAAGTTCAAGAACAAGCCTCAACGGCACTTGAAGAAAACTTTTAGCCCAATTCAAGATCAATCTTCGAAAGCCCTTGAAGAAATTTCCAGTCTATTTCAAGATCAAGCCTCGACGGCCCTTGGATTGACATCTACATTAAGGGACTTCAAAACGCATCTCCTACACGTGACAATCACATATATGCAACGCGCCTTGAAGTGGGGGCATTTGTAGACATTGAAATTTCGGTGAAATTAATGTTGACCAATAAATAAAATTTCAACGCTCACGTGTCACATAAATTTTACACGTAGCGTGTGACTCAACGAAAAATCAAAGTGAGTCAGAAAAGTCATCAAATAGGACATGTGTCAACACCTGGCAGAAATGATTTATTTCATCCGAATATTATATTCAAAATTAGGCCTTGAAAATTTCTATAAATAGAAGGCAATTTCATTCATTTCATTTCACCAATTCACATCACATTAAAACCTTGAAGCTTTGAAACTCTAGAGCTCTCAAGCAAATCCCGAAAGATCAAGAAAGCCCTCTTCGTTCTTCGTCAAATCCTCTTTCAAGATCAAGCCCTAACGGCCTTTGAAGAAAACGTTCATCGTTCATCATCCGTTGATCCTAAGATCAAGCCCCAATGACTTTTTGGATCAACATCATCAACAAATCCGCCCATCTGCTCTTCAATTCCAAGCCCAAAAGCCCTTGAGGATTCGTTCATCAACTGTTCATCCCAAGATCAAGCCCCGACAGCCCTTAGATCAACAAACAACCCGTTCTTCAAGATTAAGCCCAAAAGCCTTTGAAGATTCGTTCATCAACTGTTTATCGTAAGATCAAGCCCCAATGACCCTTTGGATCAACAACACCAACAAATCCGCACACCCGTTCTTCAAGATCAAGCCCAAAAGCCCTTGAAGATCCGTTCATCCTAAGATTAATCCTCGACGACCCTTTGGATCAACAAATCAATAAATCTGCATAACTATTCATCCCTAGACCAAGCCCCGGCGGCCCTTTGGATCAACAGCCCATCCACATATCTACATTTTACGAAGATAGAATCAAAAGCTAAATTTGTAGAAGAGATTGTAACCCAAAAATCAATACAAAATATATTTTGTACACGTGTTCTTGTCTCAGGAATTTTCGTGTTTACACGTACTAAACAAAGAATTTCAAACAATAGTGTTGGAGCCAGCAAAGTTAAAAGCCTAAATAGCTACCGAGCAAATGGTGCTGTCATGGAACCTGCATTTGTGGAATATGAACATATGGAAATCACTCCAGTGAACTATGGTATTGTGAAATCCTACCACGAGTTTCTTCATTTTAGCCTGGAGTTCTTTCTCGATGCCTAGACACCTCTATTTCCAAACATTGTGTTAATTGGCACAGCACAAAAGCCATGGTGGCTCTATGGTGGGAGGTGAAAGTTGTGCATGCCATTGCTGTCTCTAATGCATTCCAGACCGAATTCACATCGAACTCTCCTCGAATCCTTCGATCCAAAATAATTGTTAAATCCTCATTCTGGAACTCAGGATTCACCCACTCCACTATATGGTCAAGATCATCACTTTCTATGATTGCAAGTTGGCCAGTAATTAGCTCTAATAGAACTACCCCATAACTATAAACATCAATTTTTTCATTCAACCTTCCATAATGAAAGCTGCCGGCTCCATTGTCTGTTGCGGCTGCTCTTATGGTTTTCGATGTGTGGATGACGGTACCCCCACTGTCTGGTGAATCTGTAGGTGGCATAAACCTGAGTGCCTCGTTCCCTACTGTGATGAGCTAACCAGCGGATCCCTTCTCAATGTAATCTAGTTGTGTTCCACTCGCCTTACGTGCACCGTGGTGGCATTATTGTTTTGGCTAGATTGGTCTTCGCCTTTGTGCGATGTGTGATGTAGTCTCATCTGACTTGATGTGATTTCGCTCTAACGCGATAACTTTATGTGACCTCGTTATTAAGCGATGACTATTGCGACTGCTTGTATTTCTCTATTACGGCTATCGTTTATTGTGACATATCTGTACTGGTAGCACTTATGCGCTTGGCTAATGTATGTTTACTCTTATTTATTTGTCTGTGCAAATTTCCAGATCAATGTACCCAATGACACCCTTGTAATTATTTGTGTTGATTAATAAAATACTACGCTATCGTTTCTTGTCAAAAAAAGAAAAAAAGAAGAAAGTAATCATAAATTGCTCGTAGCTATGTTTTGTTTTGTTTTGTTTTTTTATATGACCAAAATTCTAAGAACCTGAAATCTAGACATATTCGGGATCAATATACCCCACTGTACCCATAACCGATGCCACAACATGAATCTTATTATCATTGGGAAAAACCATGGACAGACTGAAATTTGCTATTTTTGCATCCAAGTTTTCGCTTAAGAGAATGTTGGCAGTGTTTGCATCTCTGCGCACAATACGTGGATTGCATTATTTATGCAAGTAATGCAGCCCTGTGAGCCAAATTTCACAATATACATGGGTTGAATTAGGCACATGAACTTACGCAAATGTATTGGCGTACAAAATAACACGAAGCACCAACCTAACGCAATATTTAATGCTATCCGATGTCTCAGTTCCCAAGTCATATGCGAGCTTTCTATCTGCGTCTATAGCCATTAACATGACCCTTCAATATTTTGAAACCCTTTGCTGGATGACAATGCTTATAAAATATAGAACTACATACCGGAGAGAGATTCTTTTAAGTTTCCGTTAGGCATGTACCCGTATTTAAGTGCCAAGTTGTTGGTATCATCACTATATCCAAGAAGTGAGGTTAAGTTTCTATGATGAATTCTCGGCAAAAGCTCAACCTGCAGCAACAAGGAGCTCATCAATCTCTAAAATCATCTCCAATTTAAGGGTTAAAATCTCATAAAATAGCCTCGTATTTTCAACTAGTCATTTATATGTTTGAGAGTAGTCGGTTTTTTTTCCTCCAACGTGTAAAAGATTTATAATTCCCACCCTCAACTTTATAATTTGTTAAACTTTGTATTTCGTTGTTCTTTTTTTTTTTTTTTTGGCTAATAATTTTGGAATTAGTTGTTGTATAATCAATCTTGTTTTAGTTTTAAAAAAATTTTGATGTAAAAAGATTCAAATTTTGAAGAAGAAAAAAGAAGAAATTTTGATAGCGAAATATGAGAAAATTGAAATTTTTATGGATTAGCAAGCAAATGGATGGATTTTTAAAGAGTTTTGAAGGAATCTTGGTGTTGGACCTGAATGGGATTAATTAATCATATTATTTTGACTGTTTTTGAGTTGTTGAATTATTTTATTACCGTTAAAATTGATTAAATTGAATTTGAGTCGTTGGATTTAAAAATGCAAGTAGATGGGCGCACCACACTGGATCAAAACCCAAGAGAAGTGTCAGCTGGATTTCGAAAAGAAATCCTCTCCGGATCTCTCCCACCAAAATTTAGAAATTCAGAGATTCAGGACATTAAAATTTAATCCAACGACTACAAATAGAGGGCTCTCCTAAAAGCTATAATAATTGCAACCGTTAGATCAAATTTCAATAGTCCAGATCTTTAGATCCCTATGATTTGTAGAAGAGATTCGGAGTAGATCTTTATCCCTAGATTTTAATGGCGCGCCAATCTAGGTCTGGTACCAATGCTTTCCATGTGCTCGCCCGCAAGGAATTCCTCCACCCTATGTTGCTGACTCGCGTGAGGCCCGCGTGGGCTTGTTTCACGTGCTGGCGCATAAAAGCTGGGGGCCTTGGCCCACTTGAAAACTTATCCCCCTTGGGGGGACCCGCAAACCCAAAATTCCCTTTTTCCCACCCTCAAACGACATTCCTCAGAGCTGTTTTGGGCCAAAATATTTGATTTTTGATTTTTTTTTTTTTTTTTTTGGTTCCCCTTTGAGACAACCTAACCACCAAGACAAGGCATTTAACTTGCATTCCGAGGAATTAAACTTTAACCGTCAAACCTCTATAGATGACAATGGAGAAAATATTTTAACCGCAACTTGAGTGCCATCTTTCAAGTAGCCATTGTACACAATCCCAAATCCTCCTTTCCCTATGTCAATTTGAAAGTTTTCGGTGATTTCTAAAACCTCGTCATAAGTAAATTGGGACTTCTTTGATGCTAAAGGAATTTTGTTACGTTTTTCTCTATCTGCAGCTTAAGTAGACAAAAAGACATGAGTTCAAACTAACTAGATAGGAATGTCACTACACCATAATAGCAGCATCCGTTCTAACTGAACAAGTATCAATGGTATAAAATGGTACCTAGTTTTCTTAGTCTTATAAGCTTCCATGCCAGTATGAGCACTATAACTAGAAGGAGGGCCACTGCTGATAGTAATGATCCAAATATTGGAACAATGTTCTTCTTGCACTTGCATGAATCTGAGCTAAAAAAATAACTTACAAGCAGATAAAAAATATAAATTTGAAGGATGCAATACCATTTGCTTTCGTTAAAGAAAATGCTAACCTATTCGGCACTCTCCATGAACGACTCTTGCACAGAGCGGTAAGACGAGGAAACTAGTTGAGATCTTCATCTCTATTTGTCTCATTGCAGCCCAAGGACTACCTGGTATTTAAAACCTGCGACAATGTAGCTTTGTAACCTAATGCTGCACAACTTGCACGGCACATACATAATCCTTATTTCACGGAGATGCTTTAGTCTGCATCAATCATTCGATCATGCAATGTTCAAACTAAGAGCTATTTGGTCAAGCCATCGTACGTATTTTCTAGAGTAAGCATTTCAAACATTGTTCCTGTTAGGGCTAGTGTGGTACAACCGTACAAGTCAGGGACACAACCCAAAGTACTTTTTATTTTATTTTAAATTTGGCCGCAAAGTCCATCCCACTCTAGGATTGCTATCATGGAAGTGACTTTGAGGAGAATTTATTGATAAACAAGAAAAATACAATATGTCAAGGGGGATATGAGGCCAAACTCAGACCATTAAAGAATTCATAACAACAATTCAAAACCTCTTTCAGCAAAACCTATAACAAGGAAGGTTAGAAAGGTGAGAAATAAGTAGCTGCAGCACAAGGAGGGCATGAATCCCACTAATGGACACCGGGGTGATCAACACCATGATTGGCCAAACAATCAGCAACTTGATTACCCTCACTAAAAATATGAGAAATCTGAACCTGCATGGAGGATAGTAAAACTCGACAGTTATGCTAACTGACCAAAAGTCTCCAAGGGATAATGTCAAAGAAGGTGAAGATGATGAAAGAAGATATGAACAACTAGTGAGGAGTCACATTCAATCCATAAGGAATGCCAACCTTTATACCAAGCTAAAGATACAACATGAATAACAACGCGTAATTCGGCATCCAAAGAAGAGGCCAAGCTTATTGAACCCGCAAAACAACCAAGAGAATGACCCGTAAAATCCCAAAAGATACCACCAAATGTAGCCACACCAGGGGAACCTCTTGCAGCACCATCAATATTTATTTTGATCCAAGATTGAGAAGGCGAGCGCCACAACAACTCAATAATTTTTGGAGCCTTAGTAGGACGTCCACAAACACCAATAGAATGAAGAATGCAAAGCTCTTTCACAAAATTCTTCATATAGCCGGAATTGAGAGAATCAATTTCAAGGAGTTGAAATTTAATCGCCCTTACAACATAATTGATGGAAACAACCTCCTCATGAAAACGAACAGCGTTGCAAGCATGCCAAATAGAATAAAAACTCAAAGTATTTGATCAAAATGATTAAGTCGAGGAAAATATCAATATAAACTAGTATTCGTCATACACTAATTCACTGCACAAGAGATCCCACATCCATTTTTAACCCACCAAGTTTTGAACATGGGATGATTGAGAGTCGCCAGATGCATTAGCCATGTGTTTTATTCTTAGATTTTTTTTTAAGGGTAATGTTAGGAAGATCAAATTTCTAAACCAAATTTTGTTAACCAAATGATGTGGATGTTGATGATTAGATTGTTATTTAAGTGTTGATTAATGTGTTTATTTTTTATTGGTGACATATCATTTGATTTACAAATTTAGTTTAAAATTTTGACCTCCCTAGTTTTTTAATTTTATTTTTATTTTTTAAGTTTTTGATGATCGGAAACTACAAATCTATTCTATAAAGCTTATAACTTTATATATATTTTCCTACTTGCATATATAATTAAATATTGAATTAACTAACATTACTGTGTCAGGCTGCATAAAATATATTAGACAACTAGAGGGACACATTGAAGCCGCTAGCCCCATGTGTCCCTTCGTTTGCTCTGTGGACACCATTTTATTCCTTCGTTGGTGTTTTGTTGGGAAGAAGTTTAAGATTATTAAGAAACTTCAGTACAATAATAGAATTAAAAAAAAAAAAAAACAATACTTAGGTTTTTATGAGTGAGTATTTTGTTTATTCACTTTTTAATTTGGTCTAATAAAAAAATATTACGTGTTCTTTGTCTTTTAAAGTAGAATTTGGTTGCTACTTGAAATACTACTACAACCTTGATCAAATATGAATTCACGATCTGCGGACAAGCCACTATATATTGAGAACCATCAGACTTACATCAAAAGGGAAGTAACATCTTTATATGTTCTTGGTATATATGCTAACTATTGCATTTGATCATTTTGAGAACTCGCATCCTGATTTCATTGTCGGAGGACACTACGAAAGTCAGTCCAATTTGTTGATTGGCTCTGATTGCGTGATGATTATGATTAAATTGATCACAATATATAATAATTTTATATCATATAATTCTATCATTGACTTTGTTTTATTTATATTATATTTTATATTTATATCATTGACTTTGTTTTATTTCTGTTAATATTTGAGTCTTCCCATAGAACTCACTGATAATTATCACTTTTAAACAAGTCTCATTCGTCGAATTATTATCTATTTTTTTTTGTCCTTTTACGATAAAACTGAGGTCCTATCTCTTTTACATTCATCATATTTTCTAAAGACATCTTCCAAACCCTCTAATCTCAAATTACCCTTCCCAGTACCCTTTTAGTGGAGCGCCCTTCTTTTTCTCACTCCCTTCAAAGTGCTTCCTTTCTTTCAACTTTCATTCCCTTCATAATCTTATAAAAAGTTGCTAGACACACTTTTCCACCCTTTAGCCAAGTACATTTTGTTAATTCTTTCCGCCCCTCTTTCTCGTGAGAAATTTTTATTACGATCGGAACAATGGTACATCACATATTTTTATGTAAGTGGTGAAAAATTTTAATATTTAAATTATTAACTTTTGAGTAAATTGTAGCAATGATCCCTCAACTAAAAATCCATTATCATTGATCCCTCAACTTATCAAAATGTGTAGCTATAGTCATTTTTCATCAATTTCATCAAATTTTGTTACAATAAGTTATGTTAGAATGACCATTTATATAATTAGAGTCTCTCAACTGATCAAAGTGTGTAATTACACTTAAGGGACCATTGCTCTAATTGAGTTAAAGTTAAGGGACCATACACACACATCCTACTATTTGTATAGTAACACATTACGTATCATCCCGTCTTCCGATCACATTGAAAAATCTCTCATTTATCCGTCTCTTTTTCTGTAACGCAGAAGCCTTCCTCTTTCAGCTGCCAACATGGCCACCACCACTGAAAAATGACGACGAAGGCGATGACAAAGACACGGAGAGGCGAACATTTTCAATAGTCAATTGGTGTTTTAGGGAAAAGAATCAAAAGCTAAAACTCGTATGCTTTTATTTCTTACATTAATAAGTTTGGTTGATGCGAAATTTGGTGGAAAATATTATACCTTCGTCCTATACAAGGAATCAAATGACGTTTTGGAGATGTGTGGTTAAACTTCAACAAAGAAAAACATACCATCTCACCGGAAGTTGGAGATTCGAGATATGAGTTCGGAATTGCATTGCAGGCAGAGAGCATTCTTGCAGAAGATATAAGTTTGGGCCGTTGCTGTACTCAATTGGAGGATTTACTGTCAATCAGCGTTGAGAGCGGGTTTTCGTTTCTCCGCAGGCATCGACTGCTGGTTGTTTTGATGGTGATCCGAACTCATTTGCAAAGACTGTTAATATACTAAACTAGCTGATTTCGAATGATCCTCTCTTCATTTCGTATGAATTTCACTTGGTATTTTGTATGTGCCTAAAGCAGTAGTGATCAAAACCAAATCCAAATGAGTATGATTGTAAATATACCGGCAATATGAAAACTCAGAGTTCGCTGGTAACCTGAGGAGATAAAACGAGCCGAAGCGCAGAAAATTATCCTAATTGTTAAGATAATGGTCTAAAAGACAAGCTCATGAGGCTTCATGCCACCGTGGGATTGAAAAAAAAGAGCAAATACACAGATAAATGTAAACAAAATAGGAACAAATATTTTAATCAGAAGCAAAGAACCACTCAAAGAAAACCCCAGCCTGCAAAATATCCCATTCAACCGGAGGAAAGCAATCCCCCAAGCACAATTCATACGAGACGGTGATGTATTTGCAAATAACTTGAAACAAAAGAAACCTCCTTTTTTGCACCAAATTCTAATGGTGTCGCCACAAAACAACGTTATCGTCATTGGGTGGAATTCATGACCAAGGAACCTCCCAGTAACATAAAACTTTTTAAGAAATTCAGGAACAATAATTTCTGCTTAAAAAAATCGGAACTCAACAGTAACAAGAACTAGCCCAGATGAAAGCTGCTTAAGAAAAACAACTCTCTTTCCCTTAAACCTTCCAGCTTATACAATCAGCACCGTCCCTGGTGTAATACTAGCCCTACATCCAACCAACCAAATAAATTACAAGCCATTTAGAAATGCTTCTTTAAAAAACACTTATGCTCATAAGTGTTTCTATTTTTTATTTTAAAAGCACTTTCAAACATGTATAATATATACAGAAAGAAATCCAAAGTAATATGCAAAAAGATCAAAGAAAGAAAAAGAACTTTATGGACATTGTAGTATGTATATATCTTCTTCGTCAACTAGCCGGAAATGTCACCAGTTACCTAGGAAACGGCCCGGTCATGGAATCGACATTTGTGGAATCTGTATACACGGAGAGAACTTCAGGTGAACTATGATTATACGGCCCAAACGCAGCGCGAAGTTCTTCTGTTGATCTTGGAGTTCTTTATCGATGCCTAGACAACTCCATTTCCAAGCAATATTTGAGCTCAGACAATACAACATCCATTGCGACTCTGTGTTGGGAGGTAGAGGTTGTGCACGCCATTGCTATCTCTAACGCTTTCCAGACCGAATGCTCATCGAACTCTCCTTGCATCCTTTGATCTACAATACATTTAAGTTCCCCTTTTTCGAGCTCAGAACTCACCCACGTTGCTATGTGGATTACTTCATCACTTTTTATCACTGCAGGTTGGCCGGTGATTAGCTCTAATAGAACTACCCCAAAACTATACACATCACTCTTTTCATTCAGCCTTTGGCAATTGTGGTATCTGTAAACAAAAACTAATATTCATTAATCACAATGTCGTGGTTTATATGCAGCTTATTGTCGGTTTAGTGCCCCTTCAGTTTTATTTTTGATTAAGAGTTTGTTCCATTTTTTAACACCGTATTTTCGCATGATAATAATGCTAATAGAATGAGAAAACCTAAACATACTCTGGATCAAGATATCTGGCTCTTCCCATGACTGTGCTGACCACTTGAGTCTCAATGTCACTAGCAAAAACCTTGGAAAGACCAAAATCCGCTATTTTAGCTTCCAAGTTTTCGCTTAAGAGAATGTTGGCTGTCTTCACATCTCTGTGGACAATAGGCTCGTGACCTGCGAACCAAATTTTGCATTCCGTTAGTAGAACTATAATTTGTGTAAACATGATCACATCTATTTTACTGAAATAACAGGAAGCACGAACCTTGTGCAGCATCGATTGCTATACGTAGTCTTATTTCCCATGTCATCTGTGAACTTCTTTCTGCATCTGCAACCAATAATGTGTTGTGTTCGCTAGATTTAAGATGGACTAACATAAACTGGCGAAATTTCTCTATCTTGATAACATGATTATACCTGAGAGAGTTTTTTAGGTTGCCATTAGCCATGTACTCGTATATAAGTGCCAAGTTGTTCACATCATCGCAGTATCCAATAAACGAGGCCAAGTTTCTATGATGGATTCTCATCAGGAGCTCAGCCTGCAGTCAAGAACAAACTCATCACAACCTGCATCAAACGAGACTAGGCTTGGCATTTACCTTGCATTCCAAGAAATTCTAACTGACAAGCCTCTGTTTGGAACTCCCTAGGTCCTTGGGTTGATGATGCAGAAAGCATTTTTACCGCAACTTGGGTTCCGTCTTTCATGCAACCATGGTACACAGTCCCAAATCCTCCTTTCCCAATCGAGGTTTTTAAGTTTTTGGTGATATCTAAAACCTCCTCATGAGTAAACTGGCACTTCTTTGATGCTATAGCTGTTTTGTTAAAGGGTTCTGCTTCTGTACCTTTAAATACACAAAAAATTATGTGTTCACACTGTATAAATATTCATTTGATCTAGGGAACCTGTTTCGAAGGTTCTTCTTTGTTCAAAGTACTACGTTTACAATTTGGGGAGCTACTGAGATCTGTAAAGGTACCTGATTCTCTTTTTCTTCTCAATTTCAATACTAGTATCAGCATTATAACGACTACTAGTGCTGATACTAACGACGCAACTATTGGAGCAACAATTTTCTTCTTCTTTTTGCATGAACCCGAGCCACAAAGATTTTCGGTATCCACACTGAAATGAACACAAAAATTCTTCTTATTTCTGTTATTTGTCAAACCAAAGGCATGTTTCTAAACCAGATAAACAAGAAGCGATTTTTACCTCAGTACAAGTAATCCAGCTTCTGATCTCTCGCGAAGAGCGTTTGGAACCGAACCAGACAGTTGATTGCCTTTCAAATTCCTGCAGATCAATTCTTAATAATATGGAATTCTGGTATCAAATGAGTCTATGATCATGTAGAGATTGCACTTACAAGAGAGTGAGCGACTTTAATTCTTCCAAGAACTGAGGCACTGGCCCGATTAGGTTATTGTTCGATAAATCTCTGGGATGAAAAGCGTTATAGTTAGTAGGTTCTGCAAGATAGTAAAGTGGATAAATTCGGCAAGATGAGTCTTCATGGAAGCAAAAGTGAAGAACAATTACAAGGACTCGAGTGATGAGAGATTGGCAATGGAAGCAGCTATTATCCCACTCAAATTGCTTGAACTCAAGTTTCTAATCACAATCAAAGGCAAATCGGCTTAGAATTAGATTGAAAAGACAAAGAAATTGTAAGAAGACTAGTTCCTTAGAAGGATTCACAGGGAAATAATCCGAGGAAGTGAAATGCTGTAGTTGCATTCTAGTCCTTCCCAAGAGAAATTCCTAGGTCCACAAGGATCACCAGCCCAGATTTTTTTTATTTGATACGTAGTTTTGACATTCGTTATGGCATCAGCTGCAGTCATTAACAAAGGAAATAAGCATTCAGATCTATCTATGCTGTTATAAATTAGAGAAAATAAGAATGTAGATTACTAGATGACACTTCACAAGTTGATACACTCAGATCTATCTATGCTGTTACAGAAGCGAGTGTTACTCTTTCATGTCATCATTTCACACAATTTTGGACGAAAAAAAATTAGCACCACATCGCTTCGAGTACTCGCTCACTAACCCTATTTGAATATCCCCCACTCAAAGAAAACCCCACCCAGCAAAATATCCTATTTACAAATAACTTGAAACAAAAGAAACCTCCTTTTTTGCACCAAATTCTAATGGTGTCGCCACAAAACAACGTTATCGTCATTGGGTGGAATTCACGGCCAAGGAACCTCCAAGTAACATAAAACTTTAACATTCATTCGAAATTCCAGAACAATAATTTCTGCTTAAAAAAAAAAAAAAAGAACTCACCAGTAACAAGAAGTAGCCCAGATGAAAGCTGATTAAGAAAAACAACTCTCTTTCCCTTAAACCTTCCAGCTTAAACAATCAGCACCGTCCCTGATGTAACACTAGCCCTACATCCAACCAACCAAATAAATAAATAAAAAAATAAATTACATTATCAAAAACCCATTTTCTAATTTCTAATTTTGACGACAATTATAAATAAAGATTATTAAAAACCGAATTATTCGAATTTGAAAAATAATTAAAATCTGAGAGAAAGTAGAGAAAAAGAGAACCTGAGCTTGGTGGGCCTGGGCTTGCGTTTGTTGACGAGGGGTTTCTTGACGTCGTCGGCGGGGTAGAACTTGGGCGGCCTCTCAGGCTGGGTCTCGGCTGCCGGCTTCGCATCGTGGCGAAGGAAGACGCCGCCGTTTTTGGCCTTGAGAGCCCAAAGACCACGCTTGTGGTACATTTTGGACCTCGAGAACTTACCCACCCCGCGGACGAGTTCTGGGTTCCGGGTCTTTCTGGGGTTCCTTGCTTCTGCTGCCATTGCTGAGCTCACACAGTCTCTCTGCGGCTTGCTATTTGCGACAAAGAGACGACGGAGGAAGTAGTGCGGCGGGGGTTGAAGTAAAACCCTTACTTCCGGTTTTAATTTTTTTTTGTTTTTGGTTTTGGGCTTTGTATCAATCTGGCCCAAACTTTACTTGTTGTACTGAAATGTTCTGCATTATTGAAAAACATTTGAATTTTAAGAATAATCACTTGTAAAAGTAAAACGATTGAGGTCTTGTTTGTCATGTTGTACATAGCATTGGATTAAACCAATAACTATGGAATCAATTGTTGAGCACTTATGTATCAAGTAGGCATTTGACTAATTATTCTATTCTGATTTCACTTATTTTATACGTTATACACGTGTTAATTTGTATACTCTAAAAGATATGTATAGTGGTTGAAAAAATGTATTTTAAAGTCACTTAGTACTAATCTAGTAATATTCCTTTTCACTTGAAACTGCATGGTCTTATATTCAAATCTTGTTGATGACAAATTCAATACCAATTTATTCTCCCACTCTACTTAGTTTAAAGCCTCAAACCATGCATGATAACCTCCAAGAAAAGTAGATAAGATACAACATCTAGTAACATAATTTGGATTGATTTACTCCATTGAACAAAAAAATGAAGTGAAAACTTGTATACCAAATAAAAAACTCAAAATGAATTACAAGCCATTTAGAAATGCTTCTTTAAAAAACACTTATGCTCATAAGTGTTTTTAATAAAGTGCTTCTATTTTTTATTTTAAAAGCACTCCCAAACACGTATAATATATAAAGAAAGAAATCCAAAGTAATATACAAAAGGATCAAAGTAGACTTTATGGATATTGTAGTATGTATATCTTCTTCATCAACTAGCCGGAAATGTCACCAGTTACCTAGCAAACGGTCCGGTCATGGAATCAACATTTGTGGAATCTGTATACACGGAGAGAACTTCAGGTGAACTATGATTATACGGCCCAAACGCAGTGCGAAGTTCTTCTGTTGATCTTGGAGTTCTTTCTCGATGCCTAGACGACTCCATTTCCAAGCAATATTTGAGCTCAGACAATACAACATCCATTGCGACTCTGTGTTGGGAGGTAGAGGTTGTGCACGCCATTGCTATCTCTAACGTTTTCCAGACCGAATGTTCATCGAACTCTCCTTGCATCCTTTGATCTACAATACATTTAAGTTCCCCTTTTTCGAGCTCAGAACTCACCCTCGTTGCTATGTGGATTACTTCATCACTTTTTATCACTGCAGGTTGGCCGATGATTAGCTCTAATAGAACTACCCCAAAACTATACACATCACTCTTTTCATTCAGCCCTTGGCAATTGTGGTATCTGTAAACAAAAACTAACATTCATTAATCACAACATCGTGGTTTATATGCAGCTTATTGTCGGTTTAGTGCCCCTTCAGTTTTATTTTTGATTAAGAGTTTGTTCCGTTTTTTAACATCGTATTTTCGCATGATAATAATGCTAATAGAATGAGAAAACCTAAACATACTCTGGATCAAGATATCCGGCTGTTCCCATGACTGTGCTGACCACTTGAGTCTCAATGTCACTAGCAAAAACCTTGGAAAGACCAAAATCCGCTATTTTAGCTTCCATAACAGATATACATATATACATATAGCCGGTCCCAAAACTTCTCTATCAAAAGAGAGACCACTACATATATACATATAGTCTTTTCCATAACAGATAGGATTCCCTATTAAAATCCTTATAAGAAACAAATACTTGTTTCTTTGTTCCATAAGAACTGATCTCAATGCTATACAAAATCCTTCTTTGTCAAGGATCATCATTCCTCTTATTAACAAGACTTTTCTATCAAACTGAATACATATAGCCGGTCCCAAAACTTCTATATCTCATACTCATATTCTTACAATGTGATCAAAGAAACATAGATCTTGTCTGAATTTCTATGTTTGGAGTCGACGGACTCGGAGATCCAGACTACTCATTTTAAATTTTATGGTCCTCATTAGCTCATTTTACTGGTTCATCTCATACAAATCAAGATTCCGAATCTCTCTTTTGAACAATCCGGATCTCTGAGCTTTGAGCACAGGAGTCCGAAGGCGATCTTAACACAAAGGGCAGGGTCACATGCATGATATTAATGGTGGTAACCACCTATTTGCCTTTAGATTGCTGCAAATCCGGATTCAAAAATTGGTCTAATTTGCAGTTAATTACAAGTTGTATTGATCAATAATTGTGTGCCTATTTGTGAGAAGAGAAAATCTAACACAAGCACCAGTTGTCTACTGAATGCATGCTCTTAACTACTACAGTTATAAGCTCATTTTGCGGCCAATGTTCGACTCTCGTTTTTTTTTTTAACCATGAATAGTTTGGAACTTTCGATCAGATGGGAAATGGAACACCTTATGCATCACTGAAATGAAACATACTATTTGCTCCTCAAGAGGCTATTTTCCCATCAATGTGATAGGCTATAAAAGTTTGATTGATGGCATTGAAATTTTGAGAGAGTGAAGAATTGGACCGGGAGGGAGGAGATTTTTCATAGGGTAGGCCTGGCAATTTCTGACACGACCCGATAACCCGACACGACACGACACGAAATTAACAGGTGTTTGGGTCGACACGATAACGAATCGGGTCGTTATCGGGTAACCCGATAAGCACCTGTTAAGATAACGGGTTGGTTCGGGTATACACGTGGGTAACACGATACACGATAAGCAGAATATTATTTTTATAATTTTATAACCCTAAAAAAATACTATAATAATTATATACATTAATTTTACAATTTTATACCCCTAAAAATTATAATAAATATATATATATATTAAATTAACTATAAAATTTATAATAATTATAATAATTATATATAATATAATAATTATACCCCCAAAATATTAAGTCTATCTATAATAATTATATATATATATATTAAATTTTATAAAAACTATAATAATTATTAATTAATAATTTAATATGCATGTTGCATTGCATGATTTTGCATCCATTGAAATTTGATGTGATTTCTTTCCATTCAAATTTCAATAATCAATTTCTTGCCGTTGCCAACTTGCCGCCCTTTTTGAAGAAAAAAAAAAGAGGGAAAATGAAAATGTTAAGAAAAGTTGAAAATGAAACAAAAAAGTGAGGGAATTAGGGAAAGATGTTGGAGGGAAAAGTGAAAATGATAAGAAAAAGTTGAAAAGGAAACAAAAAAGAGAGGGAAAAATGAAAATTAATAGAAGTGGTGAGAATTTTTTTTTTTTTAAGTTATTAACTTTTTATCACACACATGACTGTCATGACATATCTCACTATTTTTATAATGACACACGTGACACGTGATGTATGTACTATTCCGTGTACCAGTCAATTATAATTTATACGTACAAAATAAATAGATTTAAATCTACTTAATAAATATATATATACACACACACAGAACTTGATTGATGGCATACGAATTCTCCAAAACTAATTTCAACGATCCAAACGGTCAAAATTGTTTGTATATGCTTGGAGATCACATCAGCAAAAAATCACAAAAAAAAAACATTTAGAGATCAAGTAACGGGACAAAGCTTTTCAACGGTTATAAACGAAAAATCATGATTTAACGGTTATTTTAACTCCGATTTTGATGATTTTTTATAACTACACTCGTTGACCCTATATGAATACAATGAATGAATTCGATCTTCAATTTAAAATATTTACACAAGTGGATACCACAAAATCTTATGTTATACTTAATAAAAGTATAAATAAACTCTAAGTGTTAGTCAATCTATCGTTTTACGAATTCTCCAAAACTAATTTCAACGATCCAAACCGTCAAAATTGTTTGTATATGCTTGAAGATCACATCAGCAAAAAATCACAAAAAAAAAACATTCAGAGATCAAGTAACGGGACAAAGCTTTTCAACGGTTATAAACGAAAAATCATGATTTAACGGTTATTTTAACTCCGATTTTGATGATTTTTTATAACTACACTCGTTGACCCTATATGAATACAATGAATGAATTCGATCTTCAATTTAAAATATTTACACAAGTGGATACCACAAAATCTTATGTTATACTTAATAAAAGTATAAATAAACTCTAAGTGTTAGTCAATCTATCGTTTTACGAATTCTCCAAAACTAATTTCAACGATCCAAACCGTCAAAATTGTTTGTATATTCTTGGAGATCACATCAGCAAAAAATCACAAAAAAAAAAAAACATTCAGAGATCAAGTAACGGGACAAAGCTTTTCAACGGTTATAAACGAAAAATCACGATTTAACGGTTATTTTAACTCCGATTTTGATGATTTTTTATAACTACACTCCTTGACCCTATATGAATACAATGAATGAATTCGATCTTCAATTTAAAATATTTACACAAGTGGATACCACAAAATCTTATGTTATACTTAATGAAAGTATAAATAAACTCTAAGTGTTAGTCAATCTATCGTTTTATGAATTCTCCAAAACTAATTTCAACGATCCAAACCGTTAAAATTGTTTGTATATGCTTGGAGATCACATCAGCAAAAAATCACAAAAAAAAAAAAAACATTTAGAGATCAAGTAATGGGACAAAGCTTTTCAACGGTTATAAACGAAAAATCACGATTTAACGGTTATTTTAACTCCAATTTTGATGATTTTTTATAACTACACTCCTTGACCCTATATGAATATAATGAATGAATTCGATCTTCAATTTAAAATATTTACACAAGTGGATACCACAAAATCTTATGTTATACTTAATGAAAGTATAAATAAACTCTAAGTGTTAGTCAATCTATCGTTTTATGAATTCTCCAAAACTAATTTTAACGATCCAAACCATCAAAATTGTTTGTATATGCTTGGAGATCACATCAGCAAAAAATCACAAAAAAAAAACATTCAGAGATCAAGTAACGGGACAAAG